TCTGGTACGAAGAAAACAGAGCAGAAACACTGCCATGCAACAAAGGGAACCTGAGAGCAAAATTAAAAACAATTGCTTTTAGGAAAACAAACAAACACCCCAAGTAATGGCAAAAAAAACCTCACTTTATACCCCATAAATTACACAGCCAACCATTAACCCACTTTTCGAACATATTTTATTATTTAAATATAAATAAATTTTTTTGAAGAGGGTTCGCTATGCTTTCATAGATTTGGGCTAGGTAAGGGCTCGGGTTTGTTTCATTTCAGATATAATTATATATAAGGTTAATAACTACGTACAAATTCACTTACGTTTATGTTTTGTTCACTTTTTGTCATTGATTTTAAAAAATATAAGATATGATAATTTTGTTTTTATTTAATTAAAATGTGGTCACTTTCATTTATTTAATTAATATGTGGTCACCCCGAGTTAACTACCGTTAATGACAATTAAATATTTTGATATAATCACATATTTGGTCTCTGTTATTTACAAATTCTCTCAATTTAGTCCTAATTTTAATAAATTAAAATAAATTTAATCCTCCAATCGAATGATGTCACATGTCATGCCACGTACGGGTGAGCGTTCGATCGAGCCGAGTCGAGCCAAGTCAAAAAATTTTTGAGTTATTTGAGTTGTATTTTACAACTCGATTCGAACTTGAAAGTTTTTTGATTCAAGTCGGGTTTATGAAAGTTAATCCTCCAAGCGAACAGTGACATGTGGCATTAGGGGTGAGTGGAATTTGAATCGACTTTCGACTCAACTCTTGGAAACTTGACTCGAATTAACTTCAAGTTATAATTTAATAAACCTGACTCGACTATAAAATTTCAAGTTCAAACGGAGTTGTAAAATAAAAGTCGAATAACTCGAAAGTTTAGTAATTAGTGGATTGATTTTCAAGTGTGAGTTGAGTATCTCGACTTTGTATCATAAATGTATATCAAATATGAAAAAAATATGATGAAATGCACATGCATTGTATATGGTTATAAAAGATCATTTAAATTGGAATAAAATAATATCATAATATTATAAATATTTATAATTAAATTTAAACAGAAATTCAAAATTTTGACTCGACTCGAAATAATTATAAGTCAACTCCTAGTTGTAAAATAGGATTTAATTTATTTTAATTTATTAAAAGTAGGACTACATTGAGAAAATATTTAAATAATAGGGATTAAATATGTGATTATATCAAAATATTCAACTGTTGTTAACGACAATTAACTCGAAGTGCCATATCTTAATTAAATAAAAACGAAAGTGACAACATCTTAATTAAATAAAAACGAAAGTTCATATCTTATGCTTTTTTAAATCAATGACTAAAAGTGGACAAAACATAAATGTAAGTGATTTTTCATGTGGTTAATCCTTATATATTTTGTATTTATAAATAATTAGATTTATTTATTTATTATGTTTTTTATTAAAATTAAAATTTGTAATTGATATTTACTGACATCAAAATGATATAATATTTTTTCGAATTAATCACTTGTATCTAATTTATTGACCGACTAATCCAGATCAGGTATGCAGAGGTGAGGGCGACCCTCCCAACCTAGTTTGCTCTATTCGCAAACGCCAGGATTCGAACCCCTGACCTTGCTTAAGAGACCTAGTTTCTCATCCCACTAGACCAACTCGTTGTTGGTAAAATGATATAATATTAATTTGTTATATAAAATCAATTATTTTAAATAAATATATTATAAAGATAAATATATTATAAAAATTAGGGTAAAGCATAGTAATGATCACTGAACTTTTCTAAAGCTTTCATTTAGGACCCCCAACTTTTAAAACTTCCAATACAGTCCCCCAACATTTAGTCCGTTTGCAATATAGTCCCCTAACATTTCGTCTGTTTACAATATGGTCCCCGACCGTTTCACGCCGTTACACTGTCGTTAGTACGTTTGTAATATGGTCAGTGAACTTTTTAGGCACTTGCATTTAGGTCTCCTAACTTTTAAAACTTACAACACATTCCTAAATTTCATTATAAATCCCAAATTCCTTTTTGATCTCAAATTTCCTTTTTCGCTTCTCTCTTCTCATTTCTAGCGTAACTTTTCAGTCGGGGATGCATGGGAAATTCTAATCTAACTTTGAATTATGTGGAGGTGTTGACTTGAATAAGGGTCCATTGAGAGAAGACCCGACCAAGGGACTATCAGGTCATCAACGATTCAAGGTGTAATGTTAGATACATGTCATCTCAAGTGAAGCATAGATGTTTGATGAAATGCTTGCGAGAAAAAATGGGGTTAGAAATGCAGAGTTGACAAATACTACTAACATGAAGTAAATATCATTGTTGAAAGTCACCAACAAAGCTGGAATTATTTTGTATAAATGTCATATAATAATTTCTTCATTTAATCCTTGTGCTTAAAGATTTTCCAACAGATGATCAAATATAATGAAATCCCAAACAATGCATTCACCTCTTAGTCTCTTTCGCAACTCGAAAGGCATCATGACAGGGTCAAGTAGCTGCTCCAAATATACTACGTTGTCATGATGTATTTCGAGTTACGTGCATGCAAAATTGTCTTCTAAAGCTATAATTCAATACAATTCAACTATAAAATTTCCAAAAACATTTAAAAAAAAAAAATTTGCTCATGATATATCAGTCCCATAATCAACATGAACTTATTAAAAAGAATACGAGCTCACAGGACGCCGAAAATCACAGGTCAGATCAATACAATTCCCAGTAAACTAGTACCAGAAGTCTCTCGGATTGAGCTTGGCTATTTCACTATGTCGATACTCACAACCAATTCCTTGATTTAAAGAAAAACCAAACAAGAAGATCAAAAAAATTTAGCCTATGACCCTATTTCACTTCTAATCTAATGGACTGAATATCTTTCATAAGGAGTACTAAAAGTTTTGATTAAGAAGAAAGAAAGCAAAATAGATGGTTTTGGTTCAAAACTAACACCGAATATCCATATCATTGACATGTAGTTCCAGAAACATAAAAATTTCAACAAAAAACACACAATGTGAGTTGAAAATGGGAAAGTGAGAAAGAGGAAAACCTTACTTTCGGATAGCCCAAAAGAGAAAATAAATATCTTCTTGCAAGTGAGGGGAGAGGCTAAGAAATAAACGCAATCGGTGTTGCGTTCAAGCAATTCTTCCTCCATTTTTTCTTTGTAAATAAAAAGTTGAAAGACAGAGCACTGCTTGGGTTTACAATTTTACATGGCGGAAAATTGAAGAACAAAAACCAAACGAGAGGTGAATGCGTTGTTTGGGATTTCATTATATTTGATCATATGTTGAAAAATCTTTAAGTACAAGGGTTAAACGAATAAATTATTATATGTCATTTATACAAAATAATTCCAGCTTTGTTGGTGACTTTCAACAATGATACTTAGTTCATCTTAGTAGTGTTTGCCAACTTTGCATTTCTAACCCCTTTTTCTCACAAGCATTTCATCGAACATCTATGCTTCACTGAGATGACCTGTATCAAACATTACACCTTGAATCGTTGATGGTCCCGATTTGGTCTTCTCTCAATGGACCCTTATTCAAGTCAACACCTCCACATAATTCAAAGTTAGATTAGAATTTCTCATGCATCCTCGACTGAAAAGTTACATTGGAAATGAGAAGAGAGAAGAGTAAAGGAAATTTGAGATCGAAAAGGAATTTGGGGTTTAGAATGAAATTTAGGACAATGTTGTAAGTTTTAAAAGTTGGGGGACCTAATTGCAAGCGCCTGAAAAGTTCAGTGACCATATTGCAAACGTACTAACGGCAGTGTAACAACGTCAAATGGTCGGGGACCATATTGCAAATAGACTAAATGTTGGGGGACCATTTTGCAAATGAACTAAATATTGGGGGACTGTATTGCAAGTTTTAAAAGTTGAGGGACTTGAATGAAAGCTTTAGAAAAGTTCAGTGACCAATACTATGCTTTACCCTAAAAATTACCCTAACATTTAAAAAAAAATAGTTACTTTGATCCTAATCTTTTAAAAATATTTTAGCCCCAACATTTATGGTTAAATTTGCTTCCTCTTTTTCCCTGAAAGGATATTTGGTGGTCATGTGACGTCTATTTTACTACCTACCTATGTCACTTTAATCGACTAGGGGAAGGAAAGGCAGGCTGATTTTGTGAACTAGAGCCATAAATGCAACGTGTTCTAGATTAGAGAGAGAGTGTGTAGCGTTAATGCTTCTCTCTTTTTCTTAATATAAACAATGAATTGCTAAAGTTGATGGCTTACCTTTTAAAATGCATGGTGAAAAGATATATTGCTTCTCAGCCATCATTTGATGTTGTGTGTGTGGGTTCTGCAGTGTGCTTCCTTGTATTGCATTGAACCCTGTCTGAAATTGACAAGATAAGGCACATATTTTGGTGTTTCCATTCAGTATTTGTTTCCCACACAAAGGGAGGTGATGCACTATACAAGATGGAGATATTGAAGTTGTTTGCAACTTAAAAAAGTTATTCAATACATGCAGACACTCATACCGCAGGACATTTATCCAAATTTTATGAATCAGTGGTCATGCAGCTTGTTTTATGGCATGGTTTGATTGCAATCTCGTCAGATGGATAATGGGGTTAAATTTAAGAAGGTAATATGCATGCCATTCTCATTTAGACAGATTGTAGATTTATATTTCAATAATATATTACATGGAAGTTGTGAGGTGTGTATGATATTTTTCTCTCCTCGAAACTTTACTTTTCATTTTTAAAGTAATGTGTGCATCTTGCTATTTAATGGTACAAATGTCATACAAGCCTGCATTTTGTGACCTTTTCCTGTAAAGTGATGCAAATATTCAGCAAAATGCTATTCGATGGCACCATTTTAGAAAATCTTAGTATCGCATGCTTAAAATACTTTACTTTCAGTCTTCCAACATCAAAGATTAAAAATAAAACATTTTCTGGAAACAAAAGAAGCAACATTACTAGCATTACCTACAATTCTTATCTGTCTCTTCCACACAAAACACTACCAAATACACACTATATCATTATGTTAAATTAAACATTTGCGCTAGCTTACTGTGTTTCCGTCCATTGGGGCTCACTCCAGCAGCTTCAAGGGATATGTCAATGCACCGATGCTGCGTTCCACGAGCAATGCTGATGCGCAAAAGAATTTTCGAAGCCGGACAGGCATCTGTTCCAACATCTGCAGAACCTTCTGCAGCAAATTCCCTTGATGCTATGGATATAGGTTCCCGAAATGTGAGGATTGTCTGTGACCAGTGAGTTTTAGGCGTATGTGGTGATGTAGACAAAACGGTTGGCATTTCTTTGCAGAACCGGCTGGTAAATCCTGTGTCGAACCATAAAACAACCCCATAACATGAGGTTGCCTTGTGATCCATATTATCAAACTTTGCTTCTATCTCAGCAGTCGCAGTGAAATCTACTTCATCGGGTTTCATAGTTGCAAGGTCAAAGCTCTGATGTAGAACACGGTCAGTCACAAAACCCAAATACAAAGATCATATACTCACTGAAACCTAGGCTAATACTGTGAAGGATACAAAGATGATATGAGCCAAGGACTGCTGGGTTTTTATAGTCGATATAAATGTATTGTCCAAATATAAAAACAATAAGTTGCAAACTAATTGCCAAAACCAGGATAGCAATCATCATTGGCCGTCTATAAGGTACATTTAATGAAACTCTCAGCAAAACATATTGTCCCACACGACAACAACCCCTAAACACTTAAAATTTCTGGTTACCAGTGAGTATCAATGAGAAAAGAGGTATAAACGAAAACAGAACTCCATAAACCGAATTAATTAATATGCAAATATGAAAATAAAACATGGGAAAGGTAAGACGACATTTAGAATGTATGGGCAAGGGTAATTTTCGTTAGGATGGATTGGGCACAGCACTAACACACTTATGCACACGCATAAAACAGGTCACTTTACTTGTCAAAATATTGAAGGAGAACAAATTATGGCTAATTTAGGCATTCTTCTATATGTTCATAATACAGCATATATGCAGAATTTGTGGATAACAAATTCCAAATTGATTCAAGCATAGAAATTAGCCAAAATGTACACACTTAAAAGATATAAAAACCATATATGAAACTATCAAGATATTTGTCAAGTTACCTTTAGTTACGAACTATCCAACAGAAGAATAGTTCGCTAAAACTTCATGCTAAGGAACCAAAAGAAGACTGTCTTGTACAATCTATATACCCAATGCAGAGACTATAATTGCCCCCAAAATATGATAAATAAACCTACTTATGTTTTTAAATGAATTATAGAGGCATAACATAAGACTACAGAAGCCACTAACCTGGAGCACAGCAGCATTGGTTACAAGATCATGATGATTAATAATGTCAACAACAGGAAATTTAGCAGCGCCTTCGACAACTTCCTTTCCAATAGAAGACATATTGAAGCCATAAACATTTTCCCAGAACGGAAGACTGGTGCCACCCTTTCCAAATCCAGCAACAAACTAAAATGGAAATATAAGAGGAAACATGCAAAGCTAAGTTAGTCCATATGCTCTGGCTATTCAATTTTCTTCAAGTAACCGTGCCCAATGCATAGCCGAACATGGTTAAAGGGATAAAACCTCCCAAAGATCCTCCAGATACAAGAAAAAACACAGATAAAATTGAACATTCTCATGTGAAACATATGCATGTACCCGATACCAACCGCAGGGTCCAAGTAATAAAGAAGTGTTAATCTATATGGACTAGTGAAATCTACCAAAATACTCACAATAGTTGCCGTATCAGGAAGTATTGCACCTCCAGGCTTCAACCATCGATCTCTTGCAAAAAGAACTGAGCTGAGCATGGACTCATATAGGAGGCAGTATCCCATCCATTCACTTACTATTACGTCGACACTATGAGGTTGAATTTGTATGGATTTATCTAGATTCTCAACCACAGTATGAACCACTTCAATAACACCAGGGCAATTTTTATTACCATCACCATCAGTTTTACTCCGCCAAAGGCCATTGTCTTTTGCAATCTGCAATTAAGAGAAAAAAATTTAAAAAAAATATAAAATATTTGTGTCCTTTGCAGCACTACAAGTCTAAATAAATTCACCTGAGTTGCCATTGTAGCCATCTTCTCACTAGCTTCAATAGAAATTACCCTTGATGCCCCTGCTTGTGCTGCAAAGAGACTGACAAAGGAGAGAAAAACTTGAAAATCGGAAACCTGGCACATGGGTATGTTTACTATTTCTAAAGAACTAAAGCATTGCCTATTTGGTTGACACTTGATTTTTCTTTTTTTGGCTATTTGTAGCTTTCATATTTTCACCATCTACTGAAAAAAAGGGCAATGAATAATAAACTAGCTAAAAAAAGGCAGTCAGCAGCAAAATCATTGTTGGAGGCAATAACTCAAAATAAAATAAAACATGTATGTCATATATTCTGATAGTAACAAAGACCCAAGCATTCAATCATAGTACGTCATGTATGAATTACAGGACGAGAGTAGGGAAAGGTCATTGTAGAACTATCCTTGAAGCCATATGCAGCATGAGCCAGAAATTTCTAACAGAAAGGCATTTTAACAATAATATTTCGCAATGATAATCGATTGTTTCTCAAATTATATAAAATGTGACAATATCTCTAAAATAAAATGGAGGCTAAAAGCATAAAGCATGGTGGAGGATTCAATATTTAAACAATTATAAAAAGCTAAAGTGAAATGGTCCATGCCTATGTAAGATAAATAGTTTACACATTTGGTTTGAACAATTATAAAAGGCTAAAGTGAAATGGTCCATGACTATGTAAGATAAATAGTTTACACATTTGGTTTGAACAAATAAAATAAACATTTATAGCTAAATAAAACTTAAAAAGAAACTGAAACAAACATGTTACCTTAGTATGCCAGTCCCACAGCCCACGTCCATAACAACTGCACCATTCAGGAGAGAAGGATTTTTCAATAAAGCTTGCCTATAAGCATCTGTTCGTATCTGTAGAACCAAAAGATACGAGCATCAAACCACTATTCAAACCTTCTAACACTATTATTGAAGTACAGAAGAAAATCTTATACCTTGTCACTTATCATATCTCTATGGATTCCAAATGAACTGTATGATCCAAAATAACTATCATTGACCCTTTTAATATCCTTTTCTACAACATCCGTGATATAAATTCTAGATTGCTTATCCTTTGGATGGCTTTCTAATGACTTAACACTTTGTCCATAATCCGATCCATTGTCTGTGATTCCCTTTGAAGAACATGCCAAGCTCAAATGACCGTTGGAAACTGCCATAACAGTTTTCCTATCTTTGTTATAGGACTCGGCATTCAGGTCAAAATCTTCTACAGTACTGTCATCATCAATGCAAACATTTCCAAAATCCTTAACAATCTCCTCTTTGTCAAATGATGTGCTACAGTCATCCTCATCTTCTTCATCTCCACCGAAACTGTAAAGAAGTGAATCGTCTTGCATGAAAGGATTTAAATACTTATCATGAACAAAAATAAGCTTCACATCTTTTTCAACAGATTGATGTAAATGACAGAGTAGATCTTGCTTGGACTGGCAGTAGGCTCCGCAACTCCAACATTTATTATCTGCTACCTGGTAAATCAAAAGGAAGCAAAAAACAAATAAATAATTAATCCACAGAATATTAGCATGCTAAAACTCCTTTACTTTACATAAACTCATCAGCAGTTTAAAAAATGTGAGAGAAGCGGAGAGAAAGGGTCATTCACTGATAGATAAGGTAGTCCAGTGTCCTGATCAGAAAAAAAAATATTCGGTTTGTTGAACTTAACATATCATTGAGTTCATACGTATTATCTATCATTTTGTTGAACTTAACATCAGTGAAAGAGGAATACCGGATTTCATTAGTTTGTAATTGGCAAAAACAATTATTTTCTTTTTATTGCTCTCTGACCTTCAGACAATTAAAAAAGAATTTGAGTTCATACGTTTTATCTATCAAATTATAACCAAACCCAGTTTAGCCTCCATTTTCTCTATTTCCCTTGCTTTTCCATCAATTTCTTTGCTGCCAAACAGAATCTGGAACTTGAGCAAAAATCATGCAGTTCCTTTTCTTTTCTACTCGTCTTTTGCATCCTCAAAATATAGTTGATTAAACTAAAACATAAACAAATTCTAAAGTAATTTTTATCCTCTAAAAGCATTTACATTTTTTCCTGATAAAAAGCAAATAACAAAAATAACATTTTCAAAACTACTATATCTGAACATTTTTTTTAACATTGAAGCAGAAATCAAAAGCAAAATTATAAAAAAAAACATAAATGGAGAAGGAAGAACAAATGAATAGGATTGGGGTTAGACCTGAGAGCGAACATAATTGATTAGCTTGAATGAACCATAAAATCCAAATTCAATTCTTTTCTTATTCCATTAAAGTCGAAGAAATGAGTTAAACGACAATGGTCGAACAAGGCATCGCAGGAACCGTACATGGAATCACAGAACAAGCATATGAATTCTAAATCTTCGTCATTCTCATCACCATCTTCTTCATTTTCATCCTCGGTCCAAACTTCTTTAAAGTCTTCATCATCATCTTCTTCCTCCTCTTCCACTTGAATTAATCGATTCGTTTCTTCGGCTTCCATCGGGTTTATCGCCATTAGTTTCTTCGTTCACTGAAACTACAAAGAGAGCAAGAGAAGCGATAAACCTTGAACCCTTTGCTGGAGGAAACAGAAACCCTAATAAAACCCGTTGCTTGGAGATACGTACGTCCCAGGCCCAGGCCCAGGCCCGAGCGTTTTGATGTGCGCCAAGTTTATCAGTTTTTTTAGATTTTAATAAATATGTATAGCATATACCTAATGAATCGAATTTAAGTGAATAAAATTATATTTATATTTGTTTATTTATTTTTAATAATATTCATGTTCTGTTTATATTCAATAAAATTTTAATATCATGCACGAATTAATTTACTTTAGTGGTTAAAAAAATCGTTGTTGTTCCTAGATGTCACAGATTCGAGTACCAACGATTGCAGCGTGATGATTGAGGATTCATTGTCAAATTATTGAGAGGATTTAGAACATATGCTACTTTTTGATCACCTTAATTTAATAAAAAATAATACCATATTCATGTTCTTTTAAAAAATTATTTTTTAATTTTAATTATAATTATTTAAATATTTTGAATAATTAAATTTTATAAAAATATATTTAAAAAGTTCTTGAAGGGTTTTTTTAAATATAATTTTATACATAATAAAATTTTAAATAATAAGAGTTAAACTAAAAATTAAAAAAAAATCAACAAAAGATATTTTAATAAGTCAAAGAGAGTACAAAATTATGACAATGTAAATATCCATATGCTTTACAACGTTGTACTAACAGTTTAAACATGTCTCGTTTTTCTAGCCAGTAAATTCCTTTGTTTTTATATATTCAGATGCAATATTAATATTATCATTCGCCAAAGCAAACCCGATGCATCTTCATTGCTTGGTTTAAAATAGTGTTTCATTTGTCGTTCAAAATATATGATCTCCGATGGGCTTTTCTTTCACTCTATTCTGCTGCATGCTCGATCGAACACGGGAAAGGTTTTCATTCGTAGTGTGATCGCTGGATATGGGTATATGTTCTACATGATATGTGAGAACATTTCTTTGAAAAAAAAAATAGATTACCCTTGTTTGTGAAGAAAATTCCATGCAGACGTTTGATTTGTCAAGGAATGTATGAAAATTTAGTTTGGATTTGAGTTGGGTGCAGAATGTTTCTCAAGGTGCAGATGCCATGGAATGTCATAATTCCTGCTGACAGCTTGGATCCGAAAGGCTTGATGCTCAAAAAGGCGATAGTGATCCGCCTTATGGATGAGTTTGCTACCAAGAAGGCCACCAAGGATCTCGGATATTTCGTGGCCGTAACAACCCTGGAGACCATCGGAGAGGGCAGAGTTAGACAGAACACGGGGGATGTACTTTTCCCGGTTTTCTTCAGCGGAATCACAATCAAGATTTTCTGAGGAGAGGTTCTGCAAGGGGTCGTACACAAGGTACTAAAACATGGAGTGTTCCTGAAGTGTGGACCGGTCCAAAACATTTATCTGTCTCACATAAAAATGCCCGACTACCGTTACGTGCCCGGGGAGAACGGAATGTTCATGAACGATAAACACTGGAAGACTCAGAAGGATGTCGTCATTAGATTTATCGTGATTGGGACCAAATGGATGGAGGCTGAGAGGGAATCTCAGGCATTGGTGAGCTCGGAAGGTGACTACTTGGGACCGGTTTCCTGAATGTCTAACTTTTCTCGAACTTGTGTATATATTCAAACTTGTGGTGATTTAACCTCAACTTTGGAATCATCCACCGACTTGTTTGAACTTGTGGTAGTTTAGCCCTAACTTTGGGTTTGTAGGGTAACAATCATTGTCATTTTAGTGACAAATTGCAAGTATGGAATGTTGCTGATTGCTGAGTAATGATCGTTTTTAAATGGTGATAGAAAGGAAATAGTGCAGCCTGTTTCAACTTTTGTGTTGTTAGTCTGCTCGTTTTCCTTCTCATTTGCATATGGGAACAGTTTTTTTTATAACCAAGATGAGATTCCTTTATTTATAACGGTACATTCAAGCTGCTTACCATTTTGGGACAACACTAGCAACCAGAGAGGATCGGTCATTTTCATTATTAGTGATGGTCATTATGATTTTGACCAAAATAATAAGGTAATGAAATTTAGGGGTGTAAATGAACTGAGTTTGAAAGAACAAAGTTATGTTTGTGTTCGTTTATTTATTTTTTAAGGTGTTCGTGTTCGGTTCATGTTCGTTTAAATTTTCAATATCGTTTTCATGTTCGTTTATTTTATTTTTGAAGGTGTTGGTGTTCGTTTATTTATTGTTCACGAACATGTTCATTTAATGTTCGCAAATGTGTTCGTTTATATGTTCACGAACATGTCCGTTTAACGTTCGTTTATATGTTCACGAATTTATTCTTGAACATGTTCGTTTAGCGTTCGTTTATATGTTCACGAATTTATTCTTGAACATGTTCGTTTAACGTTCATTTAGTGTTTGTTTAGCGTTGTTTTATTATTTGTTTATCGTTCGTTTATATATTCGATTTTTAATTTCATTTGCAAGCTAAAAAAATGATAAAATTACGCTACTGGTGTTTAAACTCCTTAAAGTTCATAGTTTAAAAAGCAACTTTTATCATGTGTTCTATTTAATCCTTATCTTAGCCGATATTTAAAATGTAAAAAAATAAAATGAAAATGAGAATTAGGCAAACACGTTTGTTCATGAACATAAATAAACGATTTGATAAACGAGCTCAAAAACAAGCTCATAAACGAGTTTGTTCGTGAACATAAACAAACCGAACATACATGTGTTCATGTTTGTTCGTTTATTAAATGAACATATATTTTTGTTCATGTTCGTTTATTTAGCTTAACAAACGAACATAAACGAACGATTCACTGAACGCTCTGTTCATTTACACCTGAAATTCAACGATGTGCCAATCCTTACCTATAGAAGTCTCTAAATGTAGGCTATCAAAAGTTTTAGCAAGTAAAGCCATAGAGGGGAGGAGAGAGCAAAACCCAAATTTGCATTGCGGGTTGCATATACATGGCATAACTATTTACGCATCAGAAACTGAAAGCAACCAACTCTTTCCCCAGATTCATCTAATATTTTTGCATGGCTCAACTATTAAAATGTTTATCTAATATTTTTATCATTTGTGGGTATAATCCGTTAGAATCAAGTCGGGAAAGATTGAGTTTGGGCCGAGCTTAATAGCTCACCCATTTTCAGGTAATTTTGGTGGTCCGACAGTAATTTTGGTGGTGGCTAAGGAGATTCTGGTGGAATGAGTGTAGTTTTTGGTCAAGAAGAATGTGTCCCCTTTTCTTAGTGTTGCATGACTCTTTATAATGCTCTAGACATGTGTAGTTTAGGAGTTGTTGTGGCATTAGTGTTAATTGGACATCCTAGGAGGTGATGGTATAAACTTGTTAGTCATCAAATAAGATCATGTATATCAACACGTGATCAGTGATAATCGTCCGCAAAATATACTCACGGTATTATAGATGACGGACACGTGTTTATTGGTGTACGTTCGCGAGGTAGGCTTTGCATTGCTAAAAGTTTACATAAGTGGATTTTCATTTTTGAGGGTTCGCATGGGTCGCTGACTCAAAAATAGTAAAAAGTAAGAGACTAAAATATAGGAATTGCCACCAAATGTCCACAAAAAATAATTCAATGGTAAATCATGAACAAACTTAACCGCAAGCATCACACACTTATTGAGATAACCAAAAAACACCTTAAAGCCCACAAAAACAGGTAAACACGTAGTACGACATGGTATTATGAATCCGGCTTTGGAGTTAAAAGCAAATCCCACCATGAAAATGAAACAAGCACACCACCATTGTCATTCGGGCTTTGAAATCACCTAGGTAGACTGTTTGAAGGGAAATTCCGCAATGGATTCTCCCCAAGTAACTCAGTTTCCCTGCACAAAAGATTCTCATGAATCAGCTAAATTACCAATATTTATCTTTAGCAGTAATCTTTAAGCACTTGTTTACAGCATTTACCTTTTTATGTTTTTGCCATCCAACTCTCTCAGTTGCAGACTTGAAGTTCTATCATTCTCATCAGTCGCTTTTGGCTTTCTGATAACAAAAAAATTGATAAAATTAGTAATGCAAACACCATAGAAAAAGTAAAGAATACAGGCCAACATTTTGAGTATATCTACAACACATATATATACTTATTTTCCATATTTTTTTCATTCTTTTCTGATATCTATGTCTGAATAACAGTTGTATATATGCATGTTCAGAAGTTATTAACTTTTCAAAATAACTACTACTTACTCTGCACATTCCTCATCAACAAAAACTTCAATATGAGCACTTGCACCAGTCCCCATGGTTCTTGGAACAGGTCGTTGTGGAACCTGTGAAGAATTTTTGAAGTTCAATGTCATTTGCAGAATAATCTGAAAAGAACAATACATTTCCCAATATCAAGAAATCATGTTCAGAGTTGAAGGAAACCTTGTATGATGTCCACTTTGTAGGCACTGCATTATTTTCTTTGTTTCTCTCAGCTCTATCTCCAAGAGTGTGCCAAGAGTTTGAATCAGTACTTGGCTTAGAGGGATGACCCCTCATCACATCCATATTGTTGTCATTGTAAATAGAAAGTGGAATTTTCTGCATCCTATGACGGAAACGCAATGGAAAATTAAGTTTATAATATGTTCTTATGGCTATTAAATATTGCAGAAAGGGAACATCATTGTTAAAATGAGTGTTCCGTGGTTAGAATGAAGTAAAGAAAGATGGGAGCTACGTTGCTTGAGCTGCATTTTTCTTGAAATACACATGCTTGACACGTGTCCTATACATGGATATGAAAATATGACTTTCAAGGATACTCATGCATAACCGTATCTGATGCTTACACGAATCCAAGAAACAAAGGATGAGAGCTCAAACTTAAAAGTATAAAATGGTTTTTGTTTGCGTACTTATCTTGCTTCAACTTATTCCTGCCAAGCTCAAAAGTCTTGTTGGCCTGCCTTTCTGCAATCACAGGAATTTACATGTTACGCTGTGGAAAAAACCTGGTATGTGATAAACCTGTAGATGCTCGTTTTTGTCCGGGGCTAAGTTAGAACAGATCCGAAGCAATGATGGGCTTAAAGAAGAACCCAAACCATTTGGAGGCCAAATCCAATGATCCTCAGCAAAAACATATTCCAGTCCACGTGAAGCTTGGAAAACAAAAATGGTTAGGAGTTAACAAGGGGAAAAATGTAGTTAACAAGTTAGGAGCCATTTTGGTAGTGGAGAGGAACACGACTGGGAATTAAAAACTGAAAGGGTTAGTTTTAGGGGGAGACGATTTTTTATTGTTTTTTTTACTCAACGGGGGAATGAGAAAAGAGGGGTAGAATATTTCTTCACCCCAGATTCAAAGATCAAAGGGTGTGTGTAAAAGGGATTCATGTAATTTATTCTTTTGATAGCAATACAAACAGAGGAGATTTCAGAGCAGTTTTTTTATTAGCAACACAGTTTTTAACAATAGAAAGCAGTAAAAAAAAGAAAGAAAGGGCAGTACATAACCAAAAAAGCAAGCAACAATCATTTCAATATAGAAGAATCAAGATGTTCACCTTGCTTTGTTCGGGTTCCAGCCAAATTTGAAGTCATTGGAGTACCTTGGTTCACCACCGGTGATAAAGGACTATCCCTCCATTCAAAAGCAATAGAAAACAGAGGGGTTCATCAGCAGCAGAAAACAAAGGTAACAAAGGCTCTTCCCATAATTTCTACCTTTCTCAAAAATAAGGAAAATATAAGATAAACAAAATCAAAATCAAGTTACAAGGTAGTTTCTAAATCTGATTTTAGGGAATTTTTGTTTCTTTTTGTTTATGTTTTTCATTCGAATTAAAAAAATAATAAAAAAGGATTTGGGTTTTCTTTTTAACATCTTCAATAGTCATCCTTCTGTTTTGGTGAAGAAAGCAATAGGAATGGTTTAGAGTTTGTTTACCTTTAGTGAAGAGGTTTCGCAATCTGGGTCCATCGTAAGGAGCGGGGAAGTCGTCGCTAGAGTGAAGTCGGTCGGGCTAGGAAGTCAAGCAGTCGGTGTCCTTTGGTTGTTTAGGTAGGACATTTAGGGGTTTCGGTCGAAGGAAACAAGAGAGGGTAGGAGAGGAGTTTTTCATTTGGGTTCCATTTAGGTGTACATAGGCTTCCAACGGCCATTCGGAGCAGGAGTGATATCGATTTAAGGGGGTGAGATTCTCTTCTTTTTCCTGAGAGAGCGGCGCTGCGCGAGAGAGAAGAGAGTTGAGAGTGAGAGAGATAACGGCTGGGGAAAGAATAAAATAGGTTTAGTTTTTTTTAACTTAAATAACATATATATGTTCTTATTAAAACGACGTCGTGTAGGTGTTTAAGGTTCCCGTTTGCGCAGGGGTTATTCACCATTTGGGTCACACAAAGTTTTCATTGTAATTCATTTTGGTCCTTGAATTGATGTTTTCGTATTTCTATTTTTACCTCCATATTTTGAGCGCATTCGATTAAGTCCTAACTGGTAATGTATTTAGTTTCTGTTTGTTTATGCTTTTAACTTGTACTTTTACGCATGTTATATTTTAGTCCCAGAATAAAATCTTTTTTGTTTTTAATTTAGTTATTAATTGTTGCGTGCATTTAATTTTAGTCACTAAATCAAAGTTTCCAAGATTATAATTTGATCTTCATATTTGTAATCGTTTCCTTTTTAGTCATTAGTTTATGTTATTTTTTTTGCTTGCTTATGCATTTGGCACGTAATTTTGGTTAATTGGTGTTCTATCCTTTAAATCTAATCTGTTGTGTTTTAATTTGGTCTTTGTATTGCATGTTTATTTAATTTTAGGCACAAATGTTGATTATATTGTTTTTGTCATTTAGACATTAGAGTTCTATATTTTTGCATGTTTCTTTTATGTCCTAAAGGTTGATTTATTTCTTCATACATCTGGCCATTTAATATATACATGTACACTTTAATTCTTACTTTGTTTGTATTTAAAAATAGTAAAATTTTGTTTAATATGATTTAGTCCTTAAATATAGTTATCTTGTGAAATTTGTATTTTGGAGTTAATATGTTTTTTTTTCAAGTCACTTTCGTACATTACATATTAATACATATATATATATAAATTATAATTTGTGGTATTTAAATATCTTTGCATGACATCATCTTTGCATAATGTATGATACCTTCATGAGCATAACTCGACAATATTACATAATTGGATTAAGGGTAATATACTTTTAATTTAAAATTGTTTTAAGTGGACAGTCATAACTGATTTGAGGTCCGCTTTTAATGATTTTAAATTAAAAGTGTATCCCGAAAGTGAAACAAAAAAATTGATTTGTCACCTAAAATTTGGGAACGAAAGAAAAGGAAATGTTCGTTTATTTAAATATATCGAGAAAAGGTTGTTATATCTTTAAGATCTGGTCTCGATATTTGTAAATAATCGAACATTCTTTATCTTTCTAAAACGACTTGGTAATTTTAATTTAATTATTTTGAGTGCTTTTGAATGTTTTAAATTTACATTTTTATCTTATGTGATCAAAATTAAAAAAAAATTCGAATTTGTAAAGTTCATTGCAAAGATGTTAATTAATCGACTAGGTACCGATTTAGGGCGTTGTGGGGGTGCTAATCCTTCCCCACACGTAACCGACTCCCAAACTCGGACTTTGGTAACGCAGACCTCAATTTGTTGTTTTAATTAAAATTAGTTTTTATTTAAAATGACAAAGCATTTTTGGGTGCCTAATCACACCCTAATCAAAGATTGGTGGCGACTCTTCGAACCGTATTTTCGATAGTAAAGGAAATTCAAAATTTTTCGAAACAAGAGGTCTTTTAAATCGCATAAATTTTTAAAATAAAAAGAGACAATTAAGAATTAATGTGGTTTTCAAAATCTCACCTTTTTTCACCTTTTAGAAAAAATCGTTTCGACAGCTTGGCGACTCTGCTGGGGACTTTTTTTAGAGAGTCAGGCCGATAGTCGATTAATTAATTGTCTTTGCAATTGAAAATTACAAATTCGTTTTAATTTGATTTTTGATCCCTTGTTTGGTTTTTAATAAGTTTTGTTTGTATTTTGTTTTTTTTAATTTAATTCGATTAACAATTACATAGTTGTACTAATTTGTTTGCTAATGATTTCAGATTAATTGTGTGAATTTAGGAAATTTTGAGTGTTTTTATTGTGTTTTTTCGCTTTTCCTCACACACTGCACAGTTGCATTTTCATGACATGTGCTAAAACCCCGCTCCGTCCTAATTAAGTAGGAGTGAGAGACTATGCCCTCGTGTGGTTTTCACCTCCGCATGGGATAGTGGATCGCTCCTGGAGCTCACGCCTTATGGTCCTCGTGATGGTAATCACCTCCGCATGGACATAAGGAGATGTGTTCCCTCGAAATTGAACTCGATCCCCTAAAGCCTGTGATGGGCCAGGATTGAGGGTTCGGTAGCCCAAGGGGGCACCGACAAGGACAATTCGAGAACCTATTACTTTAGAACCTAACCCGGCATATAGTGAACGTAGAGCCCGAACTTAGGTTGAGCCAAACCCGAACCTTAAGAATCCCGTGAGGAGGGTACACAAGGAAAAGCTTTTTTTTGAGTCATTTATTTTCGTTTTTTAAATAAGCATGCGAACTAGATATCATGCGGTTAGGTTTATTTTTTGAATAAGCATGCGAATTAGATATCATGCGGTTAGGATTTATTTTTGTGAATAACAAAGCATGGGGGTAGATATCATGTTGGGTAGGATCTGATAAAGCATGATTGGGTAGCCAGCATGTGGGTAGGATTCTTGAACAAATTATTATCCCGACTTAATTGCTTTATGTTTGCTAACCGATCTCTTGTTGTCTTTGTCTTGTTTCTTTTCTATTTTGCATTGCACTATCCATTACATGGTGTTGATTTAGGATCGATGTCCATATAGAAGGCCAGTAATATGGAACGAACGGTTCAGAAAGAGGTTGAGGACAATGCCGATGTTCTGAGGTGGTCGGAACAGTCCCAACTGACCAATGGGGACAGCGTGATGCTTGGATACGTGTCGGAGTTATTTGGTTATACTCACATTAACGTGCGTCAGAATGATCTAAGTGAGCTAAATGAGATATGGGGAAGATGGACAGTAGCCGATAAGGAGATGTTTTATCAGTTGTACGGCGACATTCCTTATCTTCTGGATGTTCCTATTGACCGAAATCTGTTTAGAGCGTTGGCGCAATTCTGGAATCCGGCTTACAGCTGTTTCACATTTGGTAGAGTGGATCTAACACCAACAATAGAGGAGTATCAAGCTTTGGTCCGTTGTTCGAGGTCCCAGATGGATAGAGTATATACCAAGCTGGTAGTCACTCCTTCGTTTAAGAAGAAATTACTATTGATGACCGGAATGAGTGAAGATTGGGTAATCAGAAACATTAAGAATAAGGGAGACAGTGAGTGTATCTCTTGGGCTGCTTTGAAAGAAGTAATTGATCATCACCCTGACAAGAGAAAGAAGCTTGACTTGTTTGCTTTAGGGATTTATGGGCTCGTTATTTTTCCAAAAGTGTTAGGATATGTAGACGTATCAGTCGTTGACCTGTTTGAAAGATTAGACAAGCGCATGGATCCAGTTCCAGCTATTCTAGCTGAGACGTTCCAGTCTTTGAGTTCTTGTAGGCGCGAGGGAGAAGGACGCTTTATAGGATGTGCGCCTTTGCTGCTAGTGTGGATTCTGAGTCATTTCAAACATGTTGAAAGAGCACCATAACGAGTGTTTCTAGAGGGGTTTTCGCCTTTGAAAGATTTTCTTTCTAAAGAATGGTCTGGGGGCTTCACCGAAGAAAAATGGATGGTCATCTTCAAGGATATCAGAGATGGAGATATTTTGTGGCGAGCTTCGTGGAATACCTCTTCGGATATACTTTACCGATGTGGAGAGCGAGATTGGGTTCCTTTGCCAGGTATATGGGGT